AAATTGATCATCCAGAATCCATCTAGACCAATAGGGGAACCTAACCGCATGCTTCTAGTTCACTAAAAACACATAAACAAAGAGAGATTTCAAGAAGTTAAAACCTAACTTTGAACTTGGATTGCAGTGGATTCAAGCCTCAATTCTCTTCCAAATCGTGCAGAAACCTTCAGTGATCAATGGTGAATGCTACTTGATGCTCAATTCCTGTTGAAAACCCTTGATTCTCCAAAATGAAATTTCAATTTCAAGCTCTCTTCTTCACTTTGCATCAATGGCTTCTCCATGAAAAATTGCACTAGAAGCTTCCTAATCTGTTCTAAATCATATTTATATTCTGTTTCAGTGAGTTGGAGGCCCAAACCAAGCCCATTTATGAATTTTGGATTTTCATTTTCCTTCAAAATTCCAATGTTGGTATGTGCATTCAAGCCTTGTTCACTCTTCAAAATTAGCCCAATGATTCACTTAAGCCTTGTGGAATGTAATGAAGTGGTTTCCATCCCTTGATTTCAATCCATGGAATATGTGGGATATGTTTCTTATTTGTGAAGCAACCTTCCAAATGGCCATGTTATGGACTTCAAATAAAAAATGTAATAATGTCAATCTCTTTAGAACATCAATTCCATTCAAATTGACTACAAATTTGACTTGAAACCATGTTATTTCCAATTATTTTGAATTTTCACCTTTTAATTCATTAAAATGGCCTTTACATGAACTTTCTTCCACCAATGCTTGATATAATCCATATCAATGGACTCTTGATACTTGGACAAGCTAAAAACATCATTTTGAGCAACTTTCATGTTGAACAAAAATCCATTTGAGGCTTGCAAGATGGTGAAATGGACTTATGGTTCAAAATGACCTGTAATGCCCAAATACCCAAAATATCCTTGACTTGTCAAAGCCATAACTTGAGTTCTATACATCAAATCATGGACTTCTAGTACTCTTTAGAAATATAAGAGGATAAGGAAAAACATTCATGTTGACCAAAAGTTCATAGGAATCATCCTTCTAGGTCAAAAATGTCATGCAAGTTGGGTAACTTTCAAGCTCCAAATTCACATGCCTCAAATGACTTGTAACTTGTCTGGCTCATATCTTGAGTTCTATAAACCCTATCAAGGACTTCTAGTACTCAAACTAAAGCTAAGATCATCCCCTACAACAATCATTTTGGGGTCAAGATGAGATGACAATCATATCTTGAATTAAATAGTCTTGAAGTCAGGGGTCAAGCTAGGGGATTTTACACTGTCAAGTCTTAGAAACCCTAGCCTGAAACTTTTTCAAACTCTTCAATCATGATGCGTTAACCTTGGAATCATCCTTAGGACATCTCAATGCATCAGTCCATGATCACATGCCTCTTGAATTAAGTCTCAACCTTCTTCAAATCCTCAGTTGACTTAGGGTTGACCCAGTCAAACCCTAGCTGCACCACTCATGGATGAGCCTTCTTAATCTTGCAAAATGACCTGTCTAGGCCTCAAAGTGATCTTCAACACTTATCATGAGCTCTCTCAAGACCTCAAGTCCAACTTCATGGCTTCAGAATCATCTGATGGCTTTCCACAACTCTCAAGTTAGGAGACACACACTCTTGGTTTCAACCACTCTCTCTGAGGCTCTTTTAACTTCTTTGACAAGGATATCAACCCTTGAGCACTTGAATAACCTTATTAGATAGCTTCAAAGTCTTGTGTAGCCCTTGATTGGTAATCATACCTCTTGATCTCCTGCATACATGTCAATGAAATGCAAATGATAATGCTAATGTGAATGAAATGAAACATAAGGTACAGAAAAGTTGGGCAAATTTTGGGGTGCAACAGAGAGAATTTATGACGGTTTTGTACAAGACGATACTTTACAGCTTGAAAATGCTTTCCCTGGGCATAGAAGAGGTTTGGAGGATTGATAAATGATATAACTTTCAGATTTGGAATCTCGAGTTTCTGATCATCACCTTTAGTTTTCAATATTTCTTGCAGCTCATATGCTTCTCTTATCATCAGAAATTTTAGCTTTGGAAGCTCTTTACATACGGAGGTCTGAAAGACGCATTTAAGTTTGTTGCAATTTCCTACAATAAGTATTTCTAGCTTTGGAAAGTATGGGTTTACAGACCGAAAAGTTATGGATTTTTCATTCTCCAAATCATCTTCAATAAGATTCTTCAACTCTTTGCATTCTTCTATTTTTAGAAAAGTCAATTGTGGTAGGCACCTTAATATTGATGTGGAAAACACAAACTCCAATTTTTTGCATCCCTCAATTCTTATCCATGAAAGGTAATTGAGGGAAAGTGTAGTACTTGCGTTAGTCATTGATTTGTGTCTATATTTTTTACCAAGGCAACATATATTGGTCCATAAAAAGACACTGCCTTTCATAGGTTCTAATTGTTTTTCCGGCATGGAAGCTTCTCCCGAAGATGTGGTAAGATGGCATTTTGGAAAAATATTTTTTAAATTTGGCAAACTCCGAAGATCCATATTTTTCAGAGAACCAAGTTGTACATATTGGCTAAATATGTATTGCAACTTCTCACAACAAGATATTGATAAAGATTCTAGCTCCGGAAGATCCTCAATTGATAGAAACAAAAAATTGAATTCTAATCCATGGCACTGGTCAATATGAAGATCTCTAAGTTTTGGAAACATTGATTTGTGACTCCCCATGCTATCATCATCAACTATTTCTCCTCTCGATTTCTTCTCTTTCTTTTCATCTATTATGTATTCAATTTTCTCGCATTTACTTATTTGCAATTCCTCCAATGACACTAGGCTGCGAGACGTAGTCAACTCACTTACAGAGATCAACATCGGGCATTGAATCAAAATCAAGCTCTTTAGATTGCAGTCTATGATGAATAGATACTCTAAACTCTTGAGAGAATTAAAGGAAAGAGGACCATTGCAAAATTCTTCCAAACATTCCATTCCTATCAATCGTAGTTTAACCAACTTGGAGAAGACAGTTGTTACTTGAGAATTACCATGCTTATTGTGAACGAGACACTTAAGTTAGGAAATGAAACTCAATGTAAGCTCGACTAGATCATTCATACCATGATCCATAGGAACAATGTCCGGTAAGATATTTACCCATTCCCACCAGATTCCTGTTAGTCTAAAAGCCTCTGCTGCTTGAATACAGTCCTTCAGTGTTCTTTTGGAGAGTAAATGTTCTTGATGAAAAAGAGACACACATTTTGATACTGAATCATTCACAGACGGAAAATCATCATCAGTTAATATAAATGTAACAATGGAAAGGATATTTCTCGGCAACAATCATTAAAATTGCGTATGAAATACAACTCTTCAAGTGAGGAGCATCCTTCAATCACATTAAATGGATTATTCCATCTAATAACACAATATCTTAGTTTCAACAATCTAAAATTTGGTAGTTTTTCCATTCCTTTTGGAAATTCATTAATTTTACAAAATTCCAAATCAAGTGTCTCAAGACTTTGCAGATTTCCCAAAATAGTGATATCACCTAAATCAACAAAATGAAAAAGAAGAGATTGAATATTCTTCAACGTCTGAATTGAATGAGGCAGTGATAGAGGTAGTTGAAAAAAAAATCAGTAAATAAATAAAAAACACGAAGGCCACTAATATTTTCAAAAAATGAATTTGGGACTTCAATTTTCTGGTCATGGAAATAACCATCCTTATGCAAATTGACAATTAAAATCTGGAGCTTTGAACTATCAATCTTGCAAGAGAGCACATCCTCTAGCTTTCCTTTGCATAACAAATACTTAATATTTTTCTCCTTTCAACCATTGCCTTCTGATTTTTAACATACAACCTTATTGTTTGAATCTTTTTGTTCGCTATCCACTGGGCTGCGTCACAAACCAAGTCATGCATTTTCACTCTATCATCATCGACCTCCAACAATAAACAAGAATCTAGGAGTTTATTTTTGGATATAACTACTTGACTTCGAGAATCTTTGTAGTTGCCATATTTTTCCCCAAAAAGTCATGCTCCTATGCCAAGTCTGATTAACCTTTCTGTAGGAATTTCTTCATCTTCAGGAAATACAGAACAAAAAAGGAATAGCCTTTTGTACTTTCCATCCTTCATATTATCATAGCTAAACTTCAAGCGTTCATATAGTTTAACCAAATTATCATCATCATCAATTTTGTTTATTGGTGCATGCTTCTGCAAGGATTTTAAGGCCAAATTCCATTCTTCATAATGTTGTTTTCCCTTCAAACTACTTACGATAATTGCAATTGCAATTGGTAATCCTTGGCATTCATTTGCAATTTTAAAACCCAGGTCGAGCAAACTTTGACTTGAATTTTCAGTCAGACCAGCATGTCGTTTGAACATTTCCCATGCATCGTCTTGGGACAAGAGCTCCAATTTGATTGTCTTACTGCATCCTAATCTTTTGCATACAAGCATATTGCGTGTGGTTACAAGAATTCTACAGCCTTTTTGATTGTCACTATATGGAATCCCTATTTCTTCAAAATCAATATCTCCCCAAACATCATCCAATATTAGAAGAATATTTTCACCATTGGTTAATCTTTCCCATAGTTTTTTGGGTCGGTCTAATTCACTACATTCATCAAATCTTAATCCCAAGGGTCCAACAATATCATCTTAAATCTTTTTAATATTTGGAGAAAATGACACAGTCGTATCAATAACGTACTTAAATTGTTTGGATTGCTTAAGTTTCTTACCCACTTCTTTGGCCAATGTAGTTTTTCCCGTGCCCCCCATCCCTTGCAACCCAATTATATAATTTTGTTCATCTTCCAATGCATCCGAAAGCTAGTTATATTTCGATATTCTGCTTTTAACAGAAATATAGTGTTGGGATGAATATCGTTCAACATCTGGAAGCGGAGCAGGAAGACCTATTGCAAGTTCCTTTCCAGTATCCACAAATCTTTTTATCTTCTCTTTCTTAGTTTCCAATTCCTTTCCCCTTTTGTATCACCATATACAATCTGGACATAATCCAAAAAAGCATTTTTGTTTTGTTTTGGAGTCTTCTTCAATGATCTTATCAACTTCTTCTTCCCAAAAAAGAGCATTAGCTTGAACATCTTCTCCTCTTCCTTTTGCAAGCTGAACACGTTGCCCAATTGTTCTCCTTTTTGCTTTTAACCAAGCTTTTTCTTCTTCAAACTCATTTGCAATGTAAGTGAAACAACATATATAACGTAATTCTTTCAACGCTCCATCTAACAATTTCTCCACATTCTTCTTCGCATAATCAATCAGAAAATTTGTCATCTAAATCATTTTCAACAGGTCAAAGTTAGTGATAAATGTTAAACATTGTTTCAATAGATCAAAATTAAACATACATGTTCAATAACTCATAAAGTTAAGTGAAATATTTTGAATTTAAAGTATATATATATATATATGATGAGTTATTATTGTTAATGTTGTTAAATTTCTGTTATTGCTGATTTTTCTACTAATTACCACTGTTAGTTTTTCAGCAAATAACAAAAATTAACAGTAGTGCCACTTTAGTTGTATTTTTAGATTTTATTTGTTATTCACTTAATGTATAAATACTCTTTGTATATTCCAATTCCAAATTAATGCTAAAATTCATATTCATCCAATATTGTTATTCTTTTCTCTCAAATTCTCTTTCTCTCTCAATTTCATCTTCTTCCCAATTTCTATCTTCCACCATTCTTAAAACCTTCGATCTTTTTTTGTGTTCTAACATTTGGCATCAAGAGAATTGGTTATTGATCCTAATCTCCTACAACAATGGAAACCATTTCCAATGATCGAATTCCCACCAATCTCCCAATTCTTGATTCGAAGAACTATGATAAATGGTCGAAACAAATGAAGGTCTTGTTTGGTTACCAAGAGGTGCTTGAGATCGTCATCAATGGAGTTACACCATTAGGGGCAGAGGCTACCGACATTCAAAGAGCTACACACAAGGAAGAGAAGAAGAAGGATTACAAAGCCTTATTCTTGATTCATTCGTGTGTCAATAACGACAATTTCAAGAAGGTTGGCGATTGTGAATCAGCGAAGCAAGCATGGGAAATCTTGGAGAAATCATATGCTGGTGCCGTCAAAGCGAAGGTTGTAACGTTACAAACTTACAAGCGGAAAATAGAATTAACACAAATGGAAGACAAAGAAACGATCAACGATTACATTACGTGCATTACCCGGTTAGTTCATCAAATCAAATCATGTGGAGAAACGATTCTTGAGCAGGATGTTGTATCGAAAGTGTTGTGTTTGTTAACGTCGCGTTTCGACAACATATTTGTGGCTATTGAAGAGTCGAAGGATCTAACAACTTTGGGCTGATAAGGCTGAGTCAAAAGTGTCCTAGTTTTTAGCATTATTTGTTATTTAATTTAATTTAATTTTTGTAGTCAAGTTTGTTCCTATATTCTAACAGAACATGGTTGTAGTCTGTCACAGCACATTAGATTTTCTCTATTTATTAGCTGCATTTTCACAAGGAATAAATCAATCATTTCAAAACTGTTATTTGCTTTTCTGTTGAGTTCTTTTGAATCTAACAATCTGGTATCTAGAGCCGGTTACCTAAGAAATGGGTTCAGAAGCAAATTTTGCAACAACCTCTATTCTGAAGTTCGACGGCGACTACGAAAATTGGAGCATGGTCATGCAGAATCTCCTTCGATCTAAGGAGTATTGGGTTGTTATCGAATCAGGCTACACAGAGCCCACAAGTAAGGATGGGATGACGGAAGCGCAAATAACAAACCTGGAGGAGATGAAGCTGAAGGATTTAAAGGCTAAGAATTACTTGTTTCAGTTTCTTGACAAGTCAATTCTAACGACAATCACGTAGAAGGAGACATCTAAACAACTCTGGGATTCCATGAAGTTTAAGTGTCAAGGCAATACTCGAGTGAAGAGAGCTCAGCTCAATCGTCAACGCCGGAACTTTGAGGTCTTAGCAATGAAGCAGGGTGAATCGATCACAGATTATTTTGGCCGAGTAATGACGTTTGCAAACGACATGAGGAATTATGGGGAAGATATGGGTGACGTCAAGATCAACTATTTGTGGATGCTTGCAAAGCTCTCTGCTTGTTCATGAGCAAAAGTTCAAAGTACGTGGAGAAGATGAACATGCTTTGAAGGTGACTCATGAAGAGATCTATGGTGGAAGAGGAAGAGGAATAGCTGCTTTCCGAGAAGGTCGGGGATACGACAGAGGCATTCACTACCTTTAAGCTATAGTAGGAAGGTGTGGGTGTATTTTCTTGCTTATAATTCAGATGCATTCACTACCTTTAAGCTATTTAAAGTTCTTATAGAAAAAGAAACGGGTTTGTCCATTAAGTGTCTAAGAACGGGTTGTGGAGGTGAATTCACATCAGATGAATTCATGGAATATTGTGAAATGAATGGAATCAAGAGGCAATTAACTGTTGCATATATACCACAACACAACGAAGTCGCTAAGCGGAAGAACAGAACCGTGATGAATATGGCGAGGAGCTTACTAGTTGAGAAAAATGTTCCAAGAAAATTCTGGGCAGAAGCAGTAAACTGGGCATTTTATGTTCTTAATAAATGTCCAACATCATCAGTGAAGAAAATGACACCTAAGGAAGCTTGGTGTGCGGTGAAGCCTTCAGTCGGACACTTGAGATTCTTTGGTTGAACAACATATGCTCATGTACCGGATGCTCGACGGACAAAGCTTGAAGATAAGAGTCGTTCTTGTGTCTTTTTTGGTGTAAGTGACGAATCAAAGGCATACCGACTATATGATCCTACGTCCAAGAGGATTGTTATCAACCAGGATGTCGTCTTTGAAGAAGACATGCAATGGAATTGGGAGAAGAGCTCCGAAGAAGATAACACATTTGATTTGGAATGGGAAGATGAGAAAAGTGGAGAAATGGAGGAATCGAGTGATGGTAATGAAGAAGAAAATGCAGTTGATGGTAATAAAGAAGAAAATGCAGCTTCTCTAGTGATAGAACCCGAAATAGAAGAGCACCAAGGTGGATGAATGACTATGTCTCCGTGAAGGCCTTTCTGATGAAGAGGAAGAGGTACAAACTCACTTAGTCCTGTTTTCTCATGCAGTTCATGAAGGTGAGAAAAACACTTAGAAGGGGGGGGGGGGGGGGGGTTGAATAAGAGTTTTAAATAATATGGCAATAAACACAACTCAAGATTTTTATCCTTGTTCGTTGAACTCAACTACTCCAGTCCACCATATCAAAGATGATTTTCCTTTCTCCACAAGGACTTAATCCACTATTAATCAACTGATTATAATAGCAAACACTAAGAACAACTGTCTTAGTCTTCTCAAGAACTACTGACCACACCTTGGTCTTCTCAAGGAACTTCTTACAAATTAATGTAAACTAAACAAGTGTTTAAGTGCTTCTAATAAGCTGTATCACAACTGTGATATTTACACTTAAGATTAAGTACAAATAAAACTATACAGTTTTATGAAAGAACAAATGTATAAGAGCTTTGAGAGATTTTCACTTTGATGCTTCAAGTGTGTGTATCAATATTTCTTTCTGATTGAGCAGCTTCTAAATGTTGTAGAAGTTCTCCTTTTATAGCTTTTTCCAAGTGCTTTGAATAATGTGCAGCTGAGTATTATATTGAAATATAAGGCTTTTCATCACCAAAAGGTATGGGCAGAGACATGCTTCTTGCAGGAAAAGTATGGTTTTAAAAGCTTTGGGATTAGCACCACGTCTCTTCATTGGACAAAATAGTTGTTGGTTACTTTGGAAGTAGCACCACGTCTAATCAAGTTTACAGCTTCTTCAACAAGCTTTCTTCATGATGAAGTCTTCATAATCTGCACTTCAGAACTTGTAACAAGCTTAAAAGGAATCAAATACTTGAGATGATCAGAGTTAACTATTTAAGATGATCAGAGCTTTGATAGATGATCAGAACTTGATATATCAGAGTCTCAATCTTGATCAGAGTCTTCATCAGAGTATGCAGCAGTATGTGATTGAGCGTGAATATTATTTGATTAGATTCTGATTATTAGAGCCTTTGTTCTTTCAGCGAAATGAACTTCAGAGTCATATTTGATCAAAGCTTTCAACTCTTTATACAATTCTTTCAGAAGTGCTTCAGATCATTCTGCAGCTTCTGCTTCAGATTCTTCTGGCAGCGCTTCAGAGTCTTCTGATTGTCTTGCATCTGATGCTTCAGAGCCTTGCGTAGTTGCTTGTACTTATGTATTTTGCTTCTTTAAGAGTATTCAATTTAATACCTGAAACAATAATACTTGAACAAATTTAGAGTATATATTTTCTTAATACAAAATTCAATAAGAGTTATCATCAAAACATTGAGATATAAGAAACACCCATCTGTGTTCTAACAATCTCCCCCTTTTTGATGATGACAAAACATAGGAAATTTTGTTCAATACAGAGAATAAAATATATAACTCCCCCTGAGATTAAGAATCTCCCCCTGAAATGAATACTCTAATAGAAGAGAACACTTCCCTTTTTGCTTGAGTATATTTCAGAACCTGGTAGGAATCCTTGTTAAAATAAAGAATTAGAGCTTGGATGCTTTCCAGAATCAGAGCCTGATGAATTCTTTCAAATAAAGAGTCTGGTTTATCTTCCAGAATCAGAGTCAAATTTGCTTCAAGGATCAGAGCTTGGTTGGGTAATTCTAAGGGTAACTTCAAAGAATTTTTGTCAGATGAAATAATAAAATCTGAATGTCTTAAAATTCAATGTTAGTTAATACTATGTCTGAATTTCATTTTAGTATTGCTTATGGATTGAACAATCAGATTCTTTTTCTCCCCCTTTTTGTCATAATCAAAAAGAGTTTAAAAGACAGAAAAGATAACAGAAGAAAAGAAATTAAAACACATAAATGAAAAACAGAACAACCAGATTCATTTAAAATAAGATGTTCAGACAACAGATGATTGAAAACAAACAACAGAAAACAAGTGCAAACATAAATGCAAAAACATGGAAAAGAAAACTAGGGCTGGCGAGATGCAATCAGGGTCAGAAGATCAGTAATCTTTGAAGTAGACTCTTCTTGCTTAGCCATCCAAGTTTTGATCTCCTCAGTAGTTTGTTCTTGTTTTACCATCCATGATCTGATTTCCTTAACTTCTTGGACAACATCTGAAGTCTCAGTCTTCATCTCAGATGCAGAGGGTGCAGAAGCAGATGCAGTTGCCTTAGGATGATCAATCTCCATGTCATTGGGCACCAAAGGCTCTACAGGAGTATCTT